ATTATATTATTTTTAATTCTCACTTAGTAAACACACACTTAACTGTTTGTATACACTATCATAAATTGGCTTTGGTTACTGGGACTTTTGAGTCTCATTATGTGGTTAACAATTTTCAGGAGAAGAGCCACGAGTGACACGTGGAGGAGTCCCAGAGGCTTAGTGGTATAGATCCACTATCTCTTTTGGGTATTTAATTTATGATTTATAATGTGTTATATTGCCAATATTAGGGCTTTTTGTTTATTGTCAATTATATGAATATATAAATGTAATCATGCCTTTCAAACTATTTCTATTTTTGGTACAATTTGGATGACTGTAATTTTAATATTTGGTTTACTTTGGATTAGTTAAAATGGCATGATTATAAGGCCAAATAACTGGCTTGTGTTGAAAATTGACTAAATTGCTTAGTTTACTTGTTGGGAGTATAAGGATGGACAAATGTGATTTAGCCTAATGGCATGTGGGAGGTAAAAATTTATCTGAAATGTTATAGTGTGTGAGTTGAAGCCAATTATAAAATATTTTATATTGAAATTATTGATATAAAAATGTGTTGGGTGGCTGTAACCCAACTATGGTTGAGTTAAATTATTTAAAAAAAAAATTTTGGTGTGTTACATATCCTCTATTTATAGGCAAAAGTATGTCACTCAAATCTCATCAACAACAACCAAAAAAAAAAAAAACACAAACTGATGATGATAAGAGATATTATAAAACAATGAAGATGCTAAAAGATATGATAAGATAATAGACAATCATATTATATCCTAATATTTATAACACATTTAAACTTTGATGGTAATTTGAGTTTTTTTATCTTGTTAAATCGTAAATTTTGAATGAGGACATACAAATTTGAGAAATTAACTTATAAATTGATTCGTAAGAATTGAATAACTAATGCAAAAAATTAAACAAATTAACTCATAGATCTATCTAATAATTTTTTATTTTATGTAGTAAATATCACATTAAAAATAAAATGCTATAATTCATACAAGATTATATTTATAAAATGAGATTCAATATTTTTTTATCAAATTTTATTTTGTCAGTATATAATATTGACCAAAAATTTAAAAAATTGTTAGTGGTTAATAATAATTTTAGAAGGTTTATTAAAATAGAATTAAAAAATATACATTTTGAGAATTTTTTAGGGTAAAAACAAAGAAAAAATATTTTTCTTTTACAGGTAATTCTCAATCAAACCGGCAGTCCAATTCGATTTTTAAGTAGTTTTTTCTATTGAATCGCGCAGTGTTTTAATGTTTGCTAGTGATAGACGTGATTATTATATGAGAAAAATATTTATTCTTATGAGAGATTTTAAATAAGTCCTAAATAAGGATTTTTATTTTTTTGGCCAGAGTCCTGAAAAAGGATTTAAATATAAACCACTACTGTGAATTTGCTTAAATACAATACAGTTTTGATTTTGGGAGAATGACATATAATGACCACTTAAATAAATTATTTATAAATAAGGATTAATATAAAACAAATTATTATTAAAATATGAACATAAACTTATTCTTTTAAAATGTAACCACGTAATTCAAACTCATAACTTATTTTAAGTAAGAAAGATAATATTATCATTAAAACAACTAATTGTTGATGTTGATAAAAATTTTGACACGAGGTTAATCAACCAACATGGTCATTGATTGGTTGCTTAATGAATACTATTTGGTTTTTGATATACAATGAAGTTAACAAATTTTATGCTTTTTATGAAATGTTAGTTATAATCTTGAAATTATAAAAAAAAATCTAACTTTTCGATTTTTTTTATGATTAAAGACCCTAACAAATTATTATTTAAAAATTTAAATGAAAATAAATAAATAGAGGGTAAAATTAGGAAAATGTATTAATTACTTTAGTTTGGTTTTATATTTAAGATAAAAAAAAAGCTTTAAATTTTGTCTTACTTTAAATATTCAAAGGAGTGTGTGTGCCTCTCTTAAAAAATCAATATTTTTATATTTACTATCAATGAATCTCTTGTACTTATAACTCGATTTAGCCTTCTAGCTTCTTTGACTTCTGTCATAATTGAGCATTCAACAAAAAATCTTTAGAACTTTTGCCATATGCTCTACGGCCACTTCTTAAGAATTGACATGGATTCAAAAAGATATTGTATCACTTTTAAGAAAAAAAACAAATTTATATATTTAGTTTTATATATTTAAAGTAATTGTTTTCAATTAAATTAAGATATATAAATTTTTTATAAATTATTTATTTCATGGCAAACTCTTATGGTTAATATTATTAATGTAATAAAATTTACTTATTTTGATTTAATTAAATAAAAGTACATTGAGACTACAATATCAGGCATTTGAGTCCTGCCTTTTGAAAAACTTTGTTGTTGATTTGTATCTTCTTCCTTCATTTTCGTTCTTCATTTTCTTGATTTCTTCTCTTATTTTTTAGTTGCTTATCTCTTTTTCTTGGATCTTCAATGGATGGCTGAAAATTGAGCTGAGTGGCTAAAAAAAAAAAGATTGATGGAGCTGCAAAAAAAAGTCGATATTCTGATTTTATTTTTTTGACACCAAAACAACTCTCCTTTAAAGATATCAAAAGGAAAAGATATTATCTTATCCAACTCATTTAACCTGTTGAGGATGTATTAGTTTTCGTGTGATTTAAATGAAAAATTAAGTTGGACAAGTGGCCAGTTCAAAGGGTTATCAATATGACCTGCCAATTTGATCCAATTTTCCATATATGGTTAACTGCATGTGTTTACGCTATGCAATTGAGTTTAGGCTTTTCTTTCTTTATTTCTTTCTTTTGTTGTTCTTTTCTTTTGCCACTTGAGTTTGCCCAATAAGGTAGTGCAGGTTATTTCAAGTGTATTATGTTATGTACACATTATTATTTTGTTATGTACTCATTGTTTTATCTCTGATAATAAGAATAAATTCATAGTTAACAAAAATAGCACATACTTTAAAATTGATGAATAAGGTTAAAGAATTTCGCCTCAATTACACACACACACATTTTAAGAACCTAGTGCATGGGGGCATGGATTGCTTTTAGCCAATGTAGATTTATCAAATTATAAGATATTTTTAATATCTCAAAACGTATGACATTTTGATAAAAATAATATTTTATTAATAATATTTTTTAATATCACCTTTGTCATTGTACTTTTTCTCTCTTGAATATTTTTTTTAATAAACGAGGTATTAAATAGAGAGTACTTTTAAAAGTTTTATATTTTGATCTTGAAAAAATAAAATTGTAAAATATATTTAATAAAATTTATTTATATATGTAACATTATTTAAAGGTATTTTATAACTTGAAAGTGAGGAAGTATTAATTATTAATTGTTGATATTAATTATTATTAATGTATCTAACTTCTAGCAACTTATACCCAAAAAGCAAACCAAATAGTCAAACTTAAGAGTTGCTTGATCCTTAATTATCAACACTTCTGGGACAACGAAACCCTAAAGTCCGATCACCCTCGATTCATTAATTACTTCAGCTCTTTTGCAGATTAAACGTATATTCTCAACGAATTTGTAAATAGAACATAAGGCGCCAAAGTAACTCAAAGCAAGGGATTTAGGGAAAAAATCACTCACAAGTCCCACGGAAAGAGTTTAATTAAATGAAAGTTTTATAAAATTATAATTATAAAATCATTCTAAAATCTGGTATTATTTATTGATGCTGTTAATACTCTCAACTAAATAACTTTATTAGTAACTATATTGACAACTTTTTTTTGTTTGTTTTTTAGGATGTATTTCCACAGCCAACAATCATGAAACCAAATTTTTAAGAAATTTGAACCTGATTTAAGGATTTGCTATCTCCCAAACAATACTCTTTATACACATTTTTAATAATTGAATTCTGAAATGATATTTAAAGAGTCCAAACTACTATCATCTGTAACTATATTAACAATTACTTGTTTGAATTAATGGACTTGAACTTAAATTTTATATTTCAAATCTATGTATTTAAAATTCATTATTTGAATAGTTAAAAAAGTTTCAGATGAAGATAGATGAGTTGAGGTTTAGAATGAAAATGAAAGATTGAAAATAGCAAAATTTATTTTTATTTTTTAATTGATGAGGTATAAGAATGAGACACATGAGAAGATATGAGAATCATAAAGACATTAACAATGAAAATATGAAAAGAATAATATGTTTGAAACGTCAAATGATTAAGATGTAGAAATAATTTAAAATTATAAAGGAGTTGCAATCATAAATGGATTTAAATTTGAATCAAATTGATAAATTTTTATATATCAAATTGAGAGATTTAGATTAAATTTAAATTCAAATCCTGTTAATCAAAACACACCATAACATAACAAATTAACAACGATGAAAAATATGAGACTTCAACATGCCAATATAATTTATGACTTTATGAGATTTTTTTTCATATTTAGATGTTTTTGTATGGGATTTAAGAGTTTTTTTTTTTTTAACGTGAAAAGATTCATTCACTGGGCTTTAAAGAATAACTAGACTAAATCCTTGCATTTTTATATATTTAATTTAAAGAAGATAAATATTTTTTCTGGGCAATCTAAAGAAGATAAATATTGTCAGCACGTTTATAATAATTTGCTAGCATTATCAATTTCAAATCTGTGCTTTTTCTAAACAAAAAAGGAGTGTTTCGTTTTTCTTATTTATAGTAGCTTCCAAGTCTTCCGTTTTCAGTGATAATAATTATATTTCCTTGAAAACAGTGACAATAATTATATATGTTTTTTTTTTGGTCATGAATTCACTGTTATTTTTCTATCGATGATTTTTTTCGTTTTATCAAAGAGCCAACATCAGTGAATGAAAAAAATAAATAAATACAGGCATTCGTGGGAGAATTTCCAAGCCAGGGTTTGGGCCATGGTTAATTTCTGTTTGTAGTTTGCTTTGGAATGGTAAATCTGAGGAATAACAATAACAACAACAACAAAGCTGCTGTGCACTTTGCCTAGGCCAAACCTCAAAACCCTCCTGCCTCCTCAAGGCACACCTTCCTCCATCGCTGTGTTTCGTTCCATCTCACTCTTCTCTGTTTCAATCTCTCTCTTCCCGAAGAACTCCTCTTTTATGGAAGATGACGATGAGTTCGGAGATTTATACACTGACGTCCTCCGACCCTTTGCTCCGACATCTTCCACCGCTCCTCAGTCTTTCTCTGCGCCCCCATCTGCCACAGGTTCAATCGATCTCAATTTCCAGACCCATCGACTAGAGATCCTCCACGGAGCTTCTCACCCTAATTCGGCTGTTCCCTACCAGTCGTCCGATCAAACCGGAGCTCCCAAGCGGGACGACTTCGTCGAAGAATCTGCTCGCGCTGTAGCTTCCAATTCTGCGCCGGGTTTGATCGGGCGCGATGAGATAGACGAGCGTGGACCTGGGAAGGAAGATGAATCAGTTGAGGCTGCTAAGGTTATTGAACGTGGAGATGCGGAATCGGCTGGTAGGGCTTTACAGGATGTGAACCGCGGTAAGGAATCTGGCATTGGTGATGTGCGCCGCGAAGTTGCTGTGAAAGGAGATGATTTGACGGATAAGGATGTAAAATTTGACATCGAGGATGACGGTGATGGAATTGAAGAGGTGGGTTCCGAGCCAATTATTCCTGGGTTATCAAGCGGTGCTGGCGGCTATATTGATGGTGTGGTTGCTGCAGCAGGCGGTGAAGCTGCCGGAAGGTTTAATGAGAGCGGTGACAGAGGCGAGGGCGATGATTGGGACAGTGACAGTGAGGATGATTTGCAGATAGTGTTGAATAATCATATGGACATGGAAAGAGGTGGAATGGTGGGCGAAGATGACGAAGATGAAGATAGTGAGCTGGTTATCGTGGCAGATGGCGACCCAAGTCAGGCAACTGAGGTGCAAGAGTGGGGCGAGAACTCAGCGCAACCCGCTGATAGTGAGAGGAAGGATATGGGTGACTCTGCCAAAGCAAGTGGGGGCGTGACAGTGGTGCCAAAAGTTGGTTATAGCAATCATGGGTATCATCCATTTCATTCGCAGTTTAAGGTCAGTGTCTTGTGTTGCTTGAAAGGCAATTACTTGTATTTGGGGTTTCTCGTTCCCCTTCATGTATTATATAAAGAATTAGATTTCAACAATATAGACTTGTATTGTACGATGTGATGTGTTGCTTCGTTTGTTATTGAAATAAAATTTTATGGTTTTAACGTAGCCAACATTAATGTTTCTTTCATGCGCGTTTGTTGAGAAAAACTTTGAAAAGCTGAATGTCTGTCAAAAAGCAGCTGACACAACAATGATCTGGATGAAGAAATAAAAGCCTGGAAGGCAATGGGTTCAACTTTACGGGGCTTCTCAATAAAATGAGAATGCCTGCTGCAAGTTTAAATGGCCATCTTTTACATAATGCAGAAGATTTTCTGATGTTTCTTCTGTTACCAAATTAACTATTGAGGCTTACACACGCGGAAAGTTGAATATCTCTCTCTTTACAGACGTGGAAAAGAATTAATATATCATATATCAATGTAAAACATAAAAATGTGGGGAGTCACATCATTCACAAGTATTGAACAATGCTACCCACTCTAGTTAAATATTTATATCAGTTGCCTAGCTAAGACATGGGTTTAAGGACCAGGCAAACATAGTGCAAAGTATTGGTGATATTGTGCTTTGTTATAGTCATGTGCAAGCAAGTCATATTTCATGGTTATCTCCTAGTACCTCAATTATCCTTTTGGTTGTGAAAGACCACGAAGGCATGTAGTGCATTTATCAGCTCGGTTGTGGGCTTGTGTTTTGTATGGAGTCAAAAGTGAGCCTATTTATGATGTATAAAAAGTGTGACTTCTTCTAGATATTTAGGTATATAAAAGGCGCTTCTAGAGGGGGAAATAAAGGGTTTCACTACATAGTCATGATAACATGGTTGCTTGTTGGGTGATTCTTCCATTGCATTTTGAATGTTTAAATGCTATAATAAGTTGAATTTCGCCCCCTCTTCATTATCCTCTTGCATCTGACGTCTCTCAATACTTGGAATAACTACCTTTCCATTAACTGTTCTTGGATGGGTGCATAAAGCTGCAACCATACCCAAGGTTTGTTGTTTGCAGGTTAACCTGCTCAATGTTCAACCAAATAGCATTCTTTGTTTTTTAAGTATTATGATAAACTTATGGCATGTTTTCTCTTTCCCATGGGAGTATGAAGCAATTCTACTGGCTTAACATTCTCTCACGAGGCTGTTTTCTATATCATGTTTATCGGAATGAGAATCAAGAATCATACCTATCTCATGTTTTCTATCTATCCTCACTTGTAAAAACTGGAAACCTATGAAAATTAAGCATGGGTTTGCTTAAAAAGCGGGATTGTATTGAATTGACGAATTGTGACAAGCTTTAGGGTTGCTGAGGGAAGTTGTATTAGGAGCCACTTGTAAATTTCACACCTAGTTTATGTCCTACACAGTGAGAAAAAAGAAGAGATTAGGATACTGTTTTTTATCATTGATGTTACTTTATTAAGTTGTAATACTTGGAAAATATGGTTATTTGAGTGGATGATCTGATGTGCAAATGTTCCTCATATCTCTTGCTTAACCAAATACTGCCTAGAGCTAATGTATGTGATGTTTAAGCAAGGGTTGCTACCTTTTACAGGTATATATCCTATGTGGTAATTTATTGTGAAATGCTCGGTTACAACTTTGCCTTTATATTAATGATTTTATCAAAGGATCATCGATTTGATGTTTTAATTTGTTCTGTGGTGTTTTTCTTCCATGGTGAGTTTAATTTCTTGATGATCATAAGTTTTGGATTATCAAATTACTTTTTGTTCCTTATTCTACGGGGTTTGTGTTTTCTTGGTGACCTTTTAATGTACTTGAGTGAACGATTTCCAGAAAAAAATCTATTCCCTCTCTAACTGGGTTCTCTGCAAGATTTGACCATCTTCATATAGTGGTGGGACTTTGTAAATACTTTAATTTCAATCATATTCTTTCAGAAGGGAAGAATTTAGTCATTCTGTCACCAGGCACCTTTTGGGAGTTGTTTCCTCCAAGTGTGTAGATAATTCTTGATATTTAGATGCGTAGCAATACATTATTAAATTCATCTATTAATTTGTTTTCCATTGTAATGCAGTATGTCAGGCCTGGTGCAGCGCCAATACCTGGAGCATCTACTGCCCCGGGAGTATCTGCTGGTCAGATCCGTCCACCTGCTAACATGGTTCCTATGGCTGGTCGTGGAAGAGGGGACTGGAGACCTCCTGGAATAAAAGGTGCTGCTGCTTTGCAAAAAGGCTTTCATGCAGGTCCTGGATTACCTGTTTGGGGCAACAGTGCAGCAGGGCGGGGTTTTGGTGGTGGACTGGAATTTACTCTTCCCTCGCACAAGTAAATTTAATTGACTTAATGTGCATGCATGGATGAACGTGTAATTTTTTATCCAATGATTTGTTATCTTAAAGGCATTTTCCTGGTGGTGTAGACTGCAATCAAGTAGGTTAATCACGTTATGTCTTCTTGCCTTGAATTTTGGTTTTTATGAACGTGTACATTTGACTATCAAATCATTCTTACCATGAGCATGAAATGCTGATGTGTTAAGTTGGTGAGCTTTATGTTAGTCATGGAGAATGGGAAGAGAGTACCGGGGGAGATGAAATTGTAGAAGATTTACTTTAGGAGTAGGAAATTCTAGATCATTTAGAATTTTTAGAGTTGTTCAAGATTTATGTATTTTCTGACATTTATTTGTTTGGTGATTTTTCTTTTTATTTTTTTATTTTCTTTTTAGGCTTCATTATACATGGCCTTATGGCTTTGCACATTGTTCAGATCAGATACGTTGTCAGTTTAATTCTCTGTTTTTCTGTCCCACCTTCCTTACTTCCTCTTTCTGTCTTTACTTATTTCATTGATTATTTTCAATATCACTGCTATTTTTGTTTGGTTTCATTATTGTCCATGCACTTGCATCTGGATGGACAAATTTTCTGAGAAATGTCTCACTAATAATTACAAATTTATACTGTGTGAAGCCAGTATTCCTTGCATCTTTGAATTCTTCTTGTGTTGGGGTTTTAAATGAAGGCTAAATCTTTCATGTAATATGTATGATGCTTTAATCTCGATTAATTTTCTTCCATCTTTCTATTTGGGTAAAATTTATCAGTTGTTAACATCTGATGAGTGCTTATCTAAACTTGCCTGTAACTTTCAGGACTATATTTGATGTTGATATTGATAGTTTTGAGGAAAAGCCTTGGAAATATCCTGGTGTTGACACATCAGACTTTTTCAACTTTGGTTTGATTGAGGAGACCTGGAAAGAATACTGCAAGCAGCTGGTAAAATTTTTCATGTTAACATTCTCTAGAAATTTAGTGAGAACTGTATAAAAAAAAAGAAAGAAATTTAGTGAGAACAGTGGACTGAGACTTTTACTCTCTCTCTTTTTTCCTTTTAATGCTTGACTTTCTAGGAACAACTGCGCCTAGAGTCTACAATGCAAAGCAAAATCCGTGTATATGAAAGTGGCAGAATGGAGCAGGTTAGTGCTGACACTGCATCTTTTAAAGAACCTGTTATCCCATTTTTCATGGCGTGTGCTGTCTTTTTTTTCTACTTTTTTTTTTTTAGAAACATCCAATTCATTGAGTCAATGTCATTGCAGGAGTATGACCCAGATTTGCCCCCTGAATTAGCTGCAGCAACTGGTATGCGTGAAGTCAATGCGGAAAATACAAATTCTGTAAAGTCAGATGCTGGACAAAGTGATGTTGGAAAAGGTTCTGGGCGTGTGAGGCCACCACTTGTATGTCTTCTTCTCACATTTGTTTTGCATTTGCACTTCTTTTATCTTAAAAAGAAATACACCGTTTTTGAATTTCTCTCTCATGAAGGCCAGATTTTGCAACTTTTTGGGGCCTATTATTTTCCACTTAGCCTGCATGTAGCTGATTGATATAGCATTAAATATATGTGCTGAGATCTATTGCTCTCTAAGGCCAAACAATAGAAGGTTTATCGCCCTTTCATTTCCCATTTAGTCTCTGTATCTTATATTTTAATTTATTGTCCCCCAGCCAACTGGGAGAGCAATACAGGTGGAAGGTGGTCTTGGTGAACGCCTTCCTTCCATTGACACTCGACCTCCACGAATCCGTGATTCAGATGCAATCATTGAGGTAATTGATCCTCTTGTGGTTCAGCCTATGATGCAATTGGATAATTATGTTTATGTTGCATATCTGCCCTGCACTCATGGCTGAAAGTATTTGTGTGCACAGATTGTTTTGCAGGATTCTGCCGATGATGATTCCTCTGCAGGGATTGCTGTTCAAGATCAATATGAGGGAGGAGAGCCCCAGAGAGATGATTTTGAAGAGGAGGATGTTGTTGACGAGGTTCCAAATGTGGAGCATAAGTATTTTGATGGATTTCCTCAAGATTATAGTAGTAGAAAGAGAGACCTTGCTGGAAAAAGAATGACATTCAAGAAGTCCCCACCTGCTGACGTGCTTGAAGGAGGTGAAACTCTGCCTTTCTCTCAGGAAGAATCAGTCAACTGCACTAGTACTAGGGACCAAACTCCTAGACCCAGTGGCGGCAATTCTGTCTCCTCTGATGTGGAAAGGTATGAAGAAGTCCTGATTATTTGCCTATAGAATTGTGCATTGTCAATATGTATTGCATTTGATAGGGCCCGTTATTTTCCTAAGACATATTAGAGGAAGTCAAAGGGGAAGAATAACTCTAGTGGAAATACTTGAACTAGTCTAGAAGTTAGATTGGCCTCTCGAATGCCAGTGGGAGTGAGACTCTTGTATTGAAGCTTGTAATCTGTGTTGCTGGAGTGTTTTATCATCTTTTAGAGGAAATAGGGTTTTGGGCCAGAATCAGAGTCCCCTTGTACATCTGATTCGGTTATTCATCTCATTAATATCAAAATCTAAGTATTTTCCTCTCATATTTATTGCTGCTGCTGTCTTATTTATTACCCTTTGCTGTGATTCTGGCTTGGGACACATTACATTTTCAACTTACAAGTTAATCCCAAGGCATAACTCTGATTGGGAGGGGAGAAAACCATGTTGGGAGATCCTCCACCCAATTGTGGTTTAACATGGCTTGATTCCAGATTAGTCAGTATTGCCATATACTAGATTTGTTACACAAAAAAATGCAATTAAGTTGTTAGTTTGTGTTGAAAGTTTGTAGTGATCAAGAGATTTTATTTATTGTGGGGGCAACATCTTTATTGACAAAAATAGGTTATTAGATGGATATTTCTTTGCATGAAATTTTCATTTCATCAAAATTATTTGAGTTGCAGTTTGTGCATGGAAGAATGATATTTGAACATGATCTAGAGCACGATGAAACATGTATGGGGTCATAGAGTTTAAGAAGAAAGGCGATAGACCCACATTTAGATGTAGGGGATTTTTTCCTGTTAAAATTATTGCCTTCTCAATTGTAAGATCATAAAATGTATTCTCTGAATCTTTCTTTTAAAGAGGACATCTTTGTTATTTTCTTTGCATATTCTGGGATCTCTTGTTAAAGTTGAAGTTCAAAACTAATAGGTTTGGTATTTTGCATCTTCACCTATTTACCATCTGGGGTTTTCTATTTACAGGCAGATAGAAGAAAGGCAAGTTCTCGTATAACTCCTAGTCGAGAAATTAATGACAATAAAAAAGAAGATTCTGATGAAAGCATGGAAAGGAGAGATAATGCACACTTGTCATCTCCTATGGCTGAGAATGCAAGGGAGTCTAGTGTTGGGGATAAGGATGCTAATCTTGATGAGCCTGGGACGGCTGGTGAAAGTTCCAAAATAGAGAAGGAGGAAATGGATCTTAATGCAGAGGACAAAAGAGATACCCTTAAGAGCTGTGATGGGAAGCCAGAGAAATTAACATCTCAAGATGAGGAACCTGTACTTGATGAAGTTGATGATTGGGAGAACTCAAGAGCAGCAAGAAGTAGTGATAACAGCAAAGCAAGTTCAGTAAGGAGCAGGGGCTATCAGAAGCGGCTGGATGGTTATGAGGAGGAAGTAGTTCAGGATGCACAGTCAGCACGTCTGGGTGCAAATAGACGGCCCTCTGATGAAAATGAACATGATGATCTCCATAGAAGAGAGCATGACGGAAGGCAAGAACCTGAAAGAGATCGCCTACTGCCTAAAGGCAGAGAGGAATCATACCCTTACAAAGAGTGGCATCCTAGCTCAGCGCATCAATTGCACATGAAGGCTGATGGATTTGGCAGGCAAAAAGATAGGGACGGCTCTGACATTGCCTGGGCCCGCAGAGATGATGATCCCTATGGCAGAAGGGGCAGAAATGATGAAGCAAGAAAGAGGGATAGGGTTAAGGTCCGAGAGAATGAGAGAAGTGACAGAGATGATAGCCTCTATTCACGAAAACAGTTGGATAATGGTAGTTATAGGGTTCCCTATGATAAGGATATAGGGTTAAGGGACTCAGGATACTGGGAAAAAGATGATGGCTTGAAGAGTAGGTATGAAGCTATGGAAGATTACCATAACAAGAGGAGGAAGGATGAGGAGTATCTTAGGAGGGAGCATATTGATAAAGAAGATATGTTGCATGGCTACAGGGAGAGTGGCAGTCGGCGTAGGAGAGAAAGAGATGTAGTGTTGGATCCACGGAAGAGAAATGATCTGCAAAGAAGTAGAGACAACTTAGATGATCATTATGCCTCAAGGCAGAAGGATGACGGATTACTACTGAAGGAGAGGTCTGATAGGCAGAGAGATAAGGAGGAGTGGCACAGGGCAAAACAATCTCATGAAGAACATCCATCAAAGCGTGAAAGAGAAGAGGGAAGGAGTTCTGTAAGAAGTGGACGAGGTGCTGAAGAAAAATCATGGGTTGGCCATGTTAGGGCTCAAGACGAGCACAGAGCTTCTGTGAAAGAGTACCAATCTAGAGATGCAACGCGGCCTAGTGAACAAGTGAAGAGAAGGGATCGAATTCGAGATGAAAGTCCTCATCATAAGGGTCGTGAGGATTCTTATACCCGTGGAAATCACTATAGCAGTGAGGAAAAGCGATCTAGGCAGGAAAGGTCAAGTAGTCGTGGTGATCGTGCTGCTACTGTTTCAGATAACCAAAGAGTTAATGAGAAAAGGCATAAAGAGGGCACAAGGAGAAGCAAAGAATCTGATCTCAGCGATCATAATAGTCTGTCCAAGAGGAATCAGGAAGATCAAAGTGGTCAGACCAACAGGAAGGTATATTGCTTATCTGTAAAAATGTGAAAGTCTCTGGAAAGTAAAGCTCTCTTTTTCTTGGATTTGATCTGTCTCTATGTAACTGAGTAGAAGATCCTGATAATCTAAAGTTATTGGAAGTTTAAAATTTGATGCTGGCCATAAAATTTTTATATGTGGCATGTTTTCTCCAAATTAAATTCCGTTCAAGTCCAAATATTTGTATGGCAGGGTAGGCATGATAAATAAAAGCTAGTTTTACACTTGCCTGAATTATACTGGCCCAACTCAATGACATGAGGAGCCTTATTTTTCCCATTTTCATTGTCAACTTTGAAGAGTAGACTTTTTTTCTTGTTACATTAGGAGGGCTTGAACCTTGACCTTTACCCGCAACCAACCCCACACTTGCCACCTGAACTAACTTCAGGTGGCTATCTGGTTTGTTTGTTTGTTTGTTTTTTTTTTTTTTGCGTATTTTTATACCAGTATTTGAACTTAGGACCCCAACATTACACTTTGAAGGGCTCACCACTGAGATTAAATATGCTAGTTGGCTGATTGGTGTTTTACATAGTAGTCTGAATGTGTTCAGGTCGCTAAATTCCAGAGAATGTCTATTATGCCTAATTTGTAGGACCTTTCTTTTTTAATTGTTTATCTTAAGTCAGTCAAACTTCATTTCTGTTGTTTGTTTGCAATTTGTTGATTTTTAGATTTTATAATACCATTATCATTATTGTTGGTATTGTATATTTTTTCCTGCTTGTGAAGAGCTCAAGAGTCTCCATTGAAGAAGGACGCACTGAGCAAGAAGGGCATCATCCTTCCAGAAAACACCGGGAAGACATTTCATCAGATGATGAACAACATGAATCTCGTAGAGGAAGATCTAAATTGGAACGCTGGACGAGTCATAAGGAAAGGGATTTCAGTGTGACTGGCAAGCCATCATCTTCCCTGAAGTTCAAAGACATTGATAAAGATAACAATGATGCGTCTTCTGGAGTTGGGAAACCTGTGGATGAATCTGCCAAAACAGTTGAGACTGTCGAAAACCAACACAACGCATCAGCTGAAGGAAAGGATTCCATTGATATGGAAAGCAAAGATGCTGATCCTAAGGGATCTGGGGATCGGCACATTGACACAGTTGAGAAGTTGAAGAAACGCAGTGAGCGGTTCAAGCTCCCAATGCCAAGTGAGAAAGAGGCTCTGACTATCAAAAAGTTGGAGAGCGAACCATTGCCTTCTGCTAAAAGTGAAAATACTGTGGATTCAGAAGTCAAACAAGAACGACCAGCACGAAAAAGAAGATGGATCAGTAACTAAATGGGGGAAAAAAACAGGATCCCACCATTGCTTTGGCAAAAATCTACCTAGGCATCGGCCTAGTTCTGGCAAACCTAGAACCCCAGCTAGCCAGCCATGCAATATCTACGTTGAAGATCAGAAGATGGCATCGTTAGGGTTTCAGATGATTTGTAATTCTTCAGTTGTAATGTCATTTTTGTAACCATGCTTCTTCCAACATATGCATTATACTATATGTATATACAGGTGAAAACGTAAAATTGGAACTGGTCACTGTAATAGGTGACACATTTTTCTGATCTCGGCTGAGGATTGTGTTGGGAATTTGACTAGGGTCGGATACAAATGCATCCAGAAACCATTGACATGGATGATGAGGCATGAGCCTAATACTGGTCACCTCTTGTGGCCCTGGCAGGTCCGAGTATTGAAAAGAAAAAACAGGAAGCGTCCTGGTTGGCGGAGGACCGTTGTAAGATGTCGAAGGCGCCTGTCTTTTGTTCTAGTCTTGTAGATTATGAACAAGCTCTGGCAACTGTTTTACTATATCACTTTTATTCTTCTTTCCGATCATAACACTGTAGGATAGTGCCTGTTTAGGGTTACAGCAGAAATCCTATATAGTGAAGTCAGGAAGGGAATGTAACTGTTGTGGAATATGAACAGGTAGAAAAAAAAAGTAGCAGCAAAATCTTGCCAGTTATAAATCTCTCTCATCGTACTATTTAAGTTTAAGGAAGCACGCTTGCAAATACAAAATGCTTTTTTAACTTTTCACCAGCAATGCAAATAATCCTCTTCAACCTGACTTTCTGTGAAAATAAATAAATAAATGTGGGTTCGGATGAATGTTTGATCAGAAAATCATGTTTTTAACTCACCCGCATAATGTTTAGTAATTGTACTCCGTGGGACTTTCGAAATTCCAAATATTGGTAGTTACAAGCACTGGACGTTGAAGCCTAAACAAAAGACCGAGAAAATATCAAATAAAGAGGCGGGGAATCTAGCATTCCAGATCTTGCCTCAACTCATGTTAATTCTTATTAATTACTAAAAGCATACTCATTAGAATGTTATCAAATAAAATTAACATGCGTGATGGGGTTTTTGTTATTTAAGCAAGTAATTGAAAATTTAAATATTATTTTTTGTATGTAACAACTTAGTTGTTTATGGTAAAAATAACGTGTGCTATTTCGAATGTGAAGTTTGACAAGGCTTTTTTTTAATATGAAAATATTTGTCTGGACGTAAAATTTATTTAATTATTGAACAATTTGAAAAGGGCACGAGAACTCTCATTCAACGTCTAGAACACTAAAACTGGAGTTGACGTATGCTATATAATTATCAACATAATACAAAGTTATACTTAGACTTTGCGCAAAGCGTGTCTTACAATCTAGTTACAATTACAATAACAATTTGTTTTCCTGAACATTATATTCATGGCTACAATGCAAGCGTTTGTCTGAGTCGACAAGATTTATTCCTATTTTTTGTGGTAGAAGAAATAATTGCTGATGCGGCTTTTGCACCATGATTTTGTCCTCTTCTGATTATCTTTCAAACATTTAATCGATGATTGATAATTAAGATGTGAGCAATACTCTCTCCCGTTTTAAACTATAAGTTACTTCTAATATTTTTATTTAACCTCATTAACTTTATTTAAAAATTCAACAAATTTTTTAACTTTACTTCTATTCAATATAAATATATATATATATTAAAAATAAAATATTTAACATTTAATAACATTCCCAACATATAATAAAGGCAGAAGGATAAAGATGGATATAATAATAATTGGGTAAACATAATTTTAATCCCTATATGTTACTCGCGTTTTGCTTTTGGTCCTTACAGTTTTTTAGGTGTTTTAGATCCTTACATTTTTATTTTTTATTATTTTTAATTTTTTAAAGTTCATATACTTTGTTCATAGAGGTCAAAAATAATGAAAAAAAATTATAGGGACGTAAAACAAAAAAAAAAGGAATAAAAACAAAACACGAGTAAAATATAAAGATTAAAAGTTATGTTTACCCATAATAATTAATATATCCTATAAAAAGGATCAAAATCAACAATTTTCCTGCGTTATAAATAGTATTAGAAGAGTAATTAATAATTAATAATTAATATATATTCCAATGATGATAATATGCTCCAACTTACTCTTGAACCATTCTCCAATGAATCTAGCAGTAGTGTACAGTAATTCAAGACCTCGATGGATTTTCATTTGCCCCCATGTGTTCTTGTTGTTTTTATCTCTATTACAGATTTGAAATCTCATATTTTTATAGTCAATGATTCAAATTTAATCAACAATTTTTTTACATTTGAATAATATTGTCATAAATTTTCATTTTAAATCATTCACTGATGGAGATGATGTTGATGAGAAGTCAGTGGAGAGTGGAGAGAATTAGGATTTATTTGGCAACTTGTTATAGGAATAGTTAAAAAAAAATTTGTTTGATAACATGCTTTTAAAAAATATATTTTAAAAAATAAAAAATTAAATATTATTTTAAGAGTAGAAAAATAAAAATATTATTTAGATATTTTATAATTGTTGTTCTGAAAAAAAAGGAGGATGAAAAAACATTTATTTTTATTATTTTTTTTAAAATATATTCTATAAAATACTAATTTTTAAAATAATAAATTAAAAACAGTTCGTAGCAGCCCTTTTCATCTCAAAATGCGGTTCATGGTGACTTCAGCTTCTCAGTTCCCCCAAAAAGATAAGATAAAGTGTGAAAAGATTTAAAAATAAAATATATTTTTTACTCGTTAAACTTTCATTAAATCATCCATTTATAGTCCTTAAATTAATATTGACTCAAAACAATTTAATTTTAAATTGTAGATCTTGAAGAATTGAATCGCTTTGAATCAGCAAAGCAAATGGATAGATAAATTGAATTGTCCGAGAGACAAAATTTAGAGTGTGAAAAATAAATAAGAAAAAAAAAATTAAGGATAGAAAAGTTACATAAGGCCATATACATGTGCCGTACCAGAAACTTCGAATTATATGATTTGAATTCTTCCCTGTTGTGAGCAGCATCGCTTTGTTAAAAAATAGAGTGAGCAAGATCCTTACATATGATTGAGATCTATGTATGGTTTTTTTTTTTCCCGGTGAATAGCTCAATGTTTATTTACAATTGAGATTAGATGTTTTTGTTAAAAAAAAACAATATTACTGCGTTAATTTTTTAAAAATAAATTTAAGTTCAAATTGTTAATAAAATTGGCCTAATTCAATCCGCTTTCAAATAGAGGCCTAATAGAGGTTAATTGGCCATCTAAATTTAGTTTAGAACTAGAGATCAAGACTAAAAAATGGACATGTCGTTGAATTAGTTAAGGATTTAAAAGTTAATGTTTTGTAATTGAATTACTTTCAATAAAAAGAAACATGTTAATAAGAAAAAATTGCAATTAAATTGTAGTTAGACTGATTATGAAAAAGCTACTCCCTTTAATTTAAAATATAGCATTTTTTTAGCTAGCTTTGATCTAAAATATACAAAATTTAGTATTTGTGAAATAAATTTTTCCTAGTTTTATCTATTCTGTTCATTTCTATGATAAACAGTGAAACTTGTTTCTGAATTTATATGCTTTTCTCTCATCAATCATCATACAATGGAAGTAAATCCGTTCACAAGCTAACCCATCGGAGATACCTTGAGGAATCGAAAAGGAAACGTCACCTCAATTAAAAAAAAAAAAAGAAAAAGAAAAAGGGAAACTTATCTCCCTGTGTTTGTGGGCTGGTACATATGAATATGAGAATGCCAAGCCGTGTGGGGAGTCTTGAGGTTGTACGTTTATTCGATTTCGGCGGCTCAATCTTGTTTTTTAGGACAAAAAATTAATCAATCATGTTGAACCTTTGTTTCGGACCATAACATGATTTGATCGATTGTATCATACGGTGAAAATAATCCAGAGCTTATATCTTCCTATGGATTTCACTCTCACACACGCACATGATTCTGTCATGTCGATGATTGATTTCCTGAGGGGGTTGGGGGGCCCAGCGTCATGTGCGACATGGGCCTATAAGCTATAGTTGATCTCTGACGTTTCAGATCGAGCACGTCGCCATTACACTAAGTGGAGGAGAAAGCTTTCTGAAAATTTCTATGTCGAAATGGAGAAGACATCTTGGGTCTGTACGGTTGTTACACAAGTTTCTCTCTGCTTTGCTCTCTACATAGCTCTAAACTTGGGACGTCCTCCGAAGTTCATATATGGACGCACCTCTCTTGATTTGTACTTCATCAGTGTGAAAGGAGGCTTCAGACCGCTTCAACAACAATTAGATCTACTGAAACAGGTAGTTTTTGTCCCCTCCTCATTTTTCTTTTGATTTTGGAATTGGGTCCATTTCTCTTTCTTCAGCTGAACCAAGTGCATCATAGGATAAAGAAATTTACTCTTTCATACTTGATACCAGTTCTCTGCTAAGCCAGATATAGCATGTTGAAGCTGATTTTTATTTGCAGCAAGTTTTTGAATCATATAATATAGACTTTTCGAAGTACATTTGCCTTTCTTCCCACTTTACTGCCATACCCTTTAAATTTTATAATTGACCTGGATGCAGAAAAGTGTTGTATACGGATATGCAATTTAACTGTTACTTTAAAGGCGTCCCACCTGTTTTGTTGAATTGCATGAACCAGATATTCAGATTCATCTCCTTATCTTTTCCTTCATTGACACATTGGAATCTAGAGTCTCATTGTTGGTTCAACAAATTCTGGTCTAGCCTATATCATTGCTCCCCCTCCCAAAAAAAAGAATAATATAATTTTGTCGTTCATGAAGATGGAGAAGGTGGCAAAGACTTACAGAGCAAGTTTTCTCGTGAGCAGCAGTGAGCTTGGGGAAGATGATCCACTCTTTCAGAATGTAGATCATTATCTTTACAGGACCACAATCCTCCTCTTTTTGGTCTGTTTTAAACTTTCACGAAAATGCTCATGGCCCATGTGTTATGAAAAATGAAATAGAATGAAAAGATAAATAAAATAAAAGAAATTTATGGATGATAAGTATTTCTTGTGTTTCTGATACATAATAATAATAATAGCAATAATGATAATAATAAGGGACGTTACTGTTAAATTACAATAATAAAAGAAAATAGATATTGCATATCTCCAAATTTTTGTGTAAGGAAAGCTGGAAAGGTGAAAAATTTCCTATATTGTTAGCAAATTAGGCTTCAGATGTGGTTCTTGAAGTGTTTGATAACAAGTTCTTCAACCAGAAAGAGCTTTGAAGTCTGAACCAGTCTGTAATAAGGTGCTGGATTGGAAAAAAATGTTCATGTTTTCTGTTGAAAAACTTGAAGTGAAAACCTAGGGAATTTCAAGCAAATCTTTTCCTTGTTTTAACTAGTTTAACTAACATTTGAAATGGTTCTCTGATAGTTTGACTGAGATATTAGTTTCTGACTAAAATTGAGGTGCCAAAGATATTGTTTATTTCCTTTTATGAGCATGAAAATAATGAATTATCACTATTTGATCTTTTTTTTT